TCTTAAATATAAGTGCTGGCAGGCTGCGGGAATTAAGTGCTTTGGTGTGGTGCAAATAAAATATTTTGCTGTGTGTGGATAACGTATCTTTGACATCATCTCATCCTCTTGACAAGAAAAGTGCAACGCTTCTTCTTTTAAAATATATGATATTTTTAAGGTGAAGCACCGAGAGCAGGAGAACAAAGAGGAAGTGTGTTTTGAACAAGAAAAGGTGCTGGGAAAGCGCTTTTACAGGGACAGCTGCTTCAGCTTCACACACACTCAGTCCCCCTTGAAATTCTCTGAAAAAGGCACTGATGCTCTAAACAAAAACCTAGTGGGCACAAGGCCTCACATTATCTTCAGGATTATTTCATCCCCCATGTCAGCTGTCCATAGAGACACACACACAAATAGTACACAAGCAGCAGTGCCACTATCTATGCCACCAGCATCAGTGAAAAGACACGTTCTGACTCCAACTCTCAGACAGAGCATGTAGCTAACAAAGAACAGTTGTCTTTGTTCAGCTGGCGCAGGAGAGGGAGGGGTGAACAAGGAGGGATAAGGATGGAGGATGGGGAGAGACGCTGTCTTCCCTGATTTCTGTTTGAGCACACAAAAAGAAACAGACCAGCAACATTTCCCCCACTTATCACACACATAGACAATTGTATCAGTTCAGACCCTGAGATGCATATTTGAAAGACTACTGTGCCGACTCGAGTAGGTTTACTGACAATTATGATGTGCTAATGAGAAGCAGGTGTAATTATCAAATCTTGGTTTGGTGTGCTAGCATGCTTATATTTTTCAATTAGCGCTGATCGGAATGTTGTTAGTCTTGCAAGTATTCAGTCATAAAGTATAAGAACAAATGTAAAAAGGTCGCTGAAGGTAATGAGGGGAACATGAATGTGTTTATCACATTTCATGGCAAGCCAGCTAATACCTGTCAATAATAAAAACTAATCAAACTAATCAAGAGAAAAGTCACTCTGTTAACAGTAAGGGACACTGTCTATGAACCCCAAATCTTACAACATATTGTGCCAGTCCATTCAGTACCTATATTCTATAGGTTGAGATTAAACTTTAACATCCTGATGGTGTCAGAGGAAAAGTCAGAGGTTCACCAAAGTCATTGGAATTTAGCTTTTGGGAAACGTAAATGTCTGTACAAAATGTTATGGCAACCCCTCCGATATTTCAGTCTGGTCCAAAGGGATGGACCAATCGACCGTCATTTCCTTTCACAAATGTAGCCAGGAAACCAAAACCTTAACAAGGGACACATTTTTATAGTAGGTAACGAACCAAAGCCTAAACATGTTAAATATTGAACTTCCCAGCAAGAGAAGTACAGAGGCACTATGTTGGTGTGACCTACAGAGAAAACAAAGTAAACTTATTTCATTATTAACTCAGAACCTCTTTCCCTGCTTCAGTCTCTGGAGATATCACGCAGCCGCTATCCTTCTATGAGCTTAACATACTGTTGATAATTATTTAATGATGAGACACAGATGGTTAAAATATATATTACTCAGTGCTGTCTTAGCTCGTAATGGATTTCCTGGAGAATAACCTATTATTTTATATGTTATAAATTATTTCAAGCATATTTTGATAGTAGTTTCCCATCTGGGTCTGAAATGTGAGGAAATGAGAACCACCCACAAAATGAGTTCAGATCTGTTGTCTCTTCCATCTTCTTTGCAAAAGTAAAAGCTGCTGATGCCACAATGAAACATTAATGGTCTTTTTCCTTTTTTTTCCTTTTTCGGATGAACTGAAAAGAGAAAATAAAAACTTTTCTGGGGAATTTCAATGTTCGTCCGAGTGGGAACATAAAAAGGATGGATGTATAAATATTGATTAACACGAGGCTGTTGATTTGTTGTTTGTTGATTTGATTCTATTCTATCACTGGGCAGCACACCCAGAAACAATGAACTGTATTAATTTGTTTTTGCAAATGAGTACAAACAGCAATCTCAAACACACACACGCTTCAGAAACTATTTATAATTTTCAATTGGACCGAAACAAATCAAGCCAGGCCTGTGTTGGACAAACCCAAATGAAAGTCAATCCCCAGGAGTCTCCGCTAAATTGCTTTGCTCAGGAGCAATTATAAAGGGATCTGTTGATTTTATTGTTAAGTGGCTCTGATTGGTTGCGGAGTGGCAGGCTCCTAATGTAGACACTAATGCAAAGTGGCATGTGTAACAGGAGTCAGGCCCTCATCAACTCTGTGGCTATTAAGACCAATTCAGACCAGACATTTCCCACTCAAGCTCACCTTGAGTCAAGCCCTTGGCTGTACAACTGCACGTAAACAGTCAATGCCAGTAGAAGAGCATTGCCTTGCATTTGTATAATGATTGACACAGAGAAAACAATCAAATCAATCAAAACTCACATATACAGATGGCTCATTGTGGCTCTTAAGGTCACTTATTAACATTGTTCCTTTATACAACAAAAGGAAAGTGTAAAAACAGATGAAGTTTTACTGGGGGAAATGTGCCACACTATGGACTCTTGACCAGTTTTTTTTTTCCTTGAGTCTCCTGTGGTCGCCATCGGAAAAACAATTTGTCATTAACCAAATAAGATAATGTGTTACTAAGTGACCTTTACAGGTAGCTTTAGTTATCTAAAAAATGCTACTTCCCCCTGTTTCCATGTCTTTATGCTAAGCTAATCGTCACCTGGCTCTTAGCCCACAGACAGATATCGATCTCTCAGTAAGAAAGCAAAAAAGTACATTTTCCAAAATGTCAAACTATCCCTCCCTAAACAATGTGAAATCTATGAGAGAAACAATGGAACTAGCACCCTTTCTTTACACTCAATTGCAATCCAATATAACAACACGGCAATCAATTCAACCATAGTGAAACTCATAATGTTCAATTGGTGTTGAGCCTGGGAGCTGCTGATTCAACTCAGGGGGGATTTACTGAGGCTGTAGTCTATGCTATTGTTGTGCTGGGCTGCATTACATTGTAAGGTGTTTCTGATTCTTTGCCCACCCCTGGTCAGATGCCTTATTTGTTTAACCAATCAACCTGCATCTCAAGAAGGAGAGACACAGACAGAGATTTGGACCGTGACAAACATGGTACTATAAGGATTGACGATGCTTGTTGTATTCATGTACACACAGGTATCTTTGTTTGTGTGTGTGTCAGTGACATAACATCTGCAGTTTGTCAGCAGTGTTTGCTCTTGCCTGGCAGAAGGTGATGGTACCAGGAAAGGTGTGATTTTCACATAATATCACAACAAGGTATCAAATGAGCTACATGTTCAGAGGCAGGCATATGTTCTACTGCAGCTGAACACAGCATCAAGCTGTTCATATTAAAACCAATTTGTCTCTGATATAATTTACAGATGAATTTCAAAAAAGGTGCAAATCTGTCCTGTTATTCTCTAAATAGACATTATTTAACAAATTCCAAACTAGAGACAATGTTGCCTCTGGCCCACTTCCTCTTCTCCTACTTGCTTTGAATACAGTCTTCATTTTGATCTAAACTACAAACCTGTAATGTTTAGTGGTGCCAAATTAGGCAAGGGTGTTAAGTGAGGGGATACAAGGAGGGGAGGGGTCAATATCCCTTTGACCCTCGATCTCAACTATACTGTTTAATCGCTAATGTGAAAAAACACCTGGCAAAGGACTCCGCAAGGCTTCTCTAGTAGATTCTGCCTGCAGGGCCACATGATGCCATGATCTCACACACACACACACACACACACACACACACACACACACACACACACACACACACACACACACACACACACACACACACACACACACACACACACACACACACACACACACACACACACACACACACACACACACACACACACACACACACACTGTTGTGGCTGTAAATAAACAGTTGGTGAACGCACACAAATATTTCTATAAAGTTATTGTTATTTCTGACTGCATTACCGGACCTGGCAATGTGCCCTACATCATAGTTTCTTCCAACATTCTTCATCACTGCTCATTTAATATTCTACACATCTATGATAGAAAACAAGTGTTGACAAGAAAACTGACACCTTGTCTCCTCCTCAGCAGAGTGTAATGCGGCAAAATGATGAGAAGGCTTGCGAAAGGTAAAACGGGGGGCAGACGTTTCTGTGTGACTGGTTTTCCCAGATGGGCATGTGGAGGGAGCTGTGTGATCAGAGATCTAATAAACCGGTGGATATGCTGCATCGCCTTTCCTGGGAGAGAGTTGTTGCTATAGCAACCACACCACAAGCACTGCAGGTTAATGGTGGGAAATTATGATTTGCCGGTTGCAACTAACACACACTGTGACTGCTGAATCAACTTTCAGCTCTCTGTGGTGGCAGAGCGATACGAGGGGTTCTCACTGTGCTTTGTTTGGATACCAATAAGGCTTCGAGAAAGTTCCAGTTGGCCCCTAGCAAAATAATTTCATAAATGCATTTCTTACAAAGAAACTCTTTGCTCTATGTTTGCAACTAGTATTGTCATTCATCTAAAAAAAACTATAAGCATATATCAGTGAAAATAATCCTAAACAGGATTTATTTGAACAGGTATCTTATTAATGGTCAAAACTATAACTTTACAAACTCTGTGTCCTGTGTGTCAAAGATTAAGACCAAATACAGACATCACAAAAACATGTTTTTCAGTTTTTTGTTCAATTCTGCACCATGGATTTATTGCAGATTGGCCATACGAGAAACAGGTTGAAGGTCATGAAACATATAATTCAGAGCAAGTACTTTGTCAATACAACCAAGCAAGTAAACATATGTGACTATACCCTCCATTACTTAAAGCTGAATTGGGTTAAACATACCTTATTTAACATATATTTATAATGTATGATGTCCTTTATTGTTTTATGTTTCATGTGGAACCTATATATGTATGCTGCAGGTCTCCCTTGAAAAAGAGATCTATGATCTCAATGGGACCAATCTGGTTAAATAAAGGTTTGAAATGAAATGAAATGAATATCAAGTGCCAAAAAAATTAAAATGTTGCTGATTGTTTTTCCTGTTTGTGTAGTCTTTAGGGTAAATGCATAAAGCTGTGGTAACTTTTCATGCATTTGATTAATAAGGCCACTGCATAACTGTGTCAAAGATCATGTTTTTCCTATTTACCATTCAAACACAGGAAGATTCATTGTAGAGAGGCATCAGAGATGGATGGAGCCAAAGTTGCTTGGGCTGTAGGAATAACTAATAAGAGAAATAACACTGACATGACAACAAATATGTTGATCTTCAGTAAAAAACTGAACTCTCTGCTTCATTCCAACAGCCAAAACTTGCATGCATCTGCCTAGCACCATTTCTTGTCTCAACATAGATGATCACATCTCTTCTCTGTAGCCAAGGAAGAAGAACCTGTCAGGCGGCTCCCAAAGCAGCAGCTCAAACAGCAAGTGATGAAACGTTGTCATTTTCACTGCTCCCCTTAGGAAAGGAGGGGGGGGAGCATGAGGAAGAATCCAAACAAGTGACAGGTCTGAAAGAAAACTCTTTATCTCTCTTTCAACATGGACTTCTGTGTGCCCGTGTTTGTACTCTATAGAGACAAAGAGAGTAAACGAGATTAATTATATCCACTTTAAAGCCCATTTTAAATCACCACAATAATTTTGCTATTACATTAATATAAACTATGTCCATGGCACCTTAATGTCTTGTGAAGTCCTCGTCACAAACTAAGCCTGATGAGGAATGAACTTTAGTTGACCTGAGGATTGAAAACAAAAACATATTTTTAAACAGGTCAACAAACAGAAATATTCAAACAATGAGATCATCGGTGCAGTGGGGGTGCCAAATAGTTCATCCAGCACTTCCACTTTAAAATTCGCACTTCACTGCTCATGGCCGGCAGCAGGGTGGGACTTTTTGTTCGCAGTGTTTGTGATGACAGAACAGATGGTGAGGTTGCCTGTTTGGGCACCGCTGTGGGTGTCAAACGCGTTTCAGTCCAGCTGACCTGCGCCAGGCAGCTGCTCGTCACTGGAAGCTTTGCGCTGCAGCGTTTCTACTCCTCAAGTCTCACCTTGTCTCCAGCGCTGGAGATCAGAGCAGATATCACAAGCAAGGGGGGTGTTTTCCACAGATAAGAGTTTTTGTCGTTTTAAAGGCTGATTGTTTCTATTCTAAAACATAATCTGCTACCCCCTCGCGCATTATCCTGGAGCTGCGGATTCTGTACGGGTCAGATACAGTAGCCTGCAGCAGTCTTACGGAGGATTCAGCGCTTCAGAGGTGAGAGCAATGTGCTTATTGTATGCATGTGGTGACATTTTGATACCCATGTATGTCTATAAAATATCTAAAAGAATGTTCTTAATTCCTGCTCGGTAGAAAAGGGGGATTTGTCCGTCCGGTCAAGAGTGTAAAACTCGTAAAAATGTAGTCATCCTTTTTTGCTTTAAGAAATACACACATCAACAAACATGAAATTCAACAATAACGCGGTGTCTATCGATGGCATGTGTCCTCGTGCAGCTCACGTTACCTCCGCAAAAATGAAAAATGTTTACCTTTAACAAAGAAATATCTAGGCTAACTAAACGGAATGCAGCTCATAAAAGTTGTATATTTATCGATGTTTTTCAGAATTAATATGCTATGTGTGCGTCGGGTCAGTCTTTTATCAACAAAGCAGCCTACAATAGTTGATTTGCAAGGACACAGTGATCTGCATTCAATGCACATTAAATAAGTATTATGAACCTTTGTTACAGTTTATAAATATCAACTGATCAGATATCAGAGGGAGGGGAACCAAACAAATACAATTTAAACCTGTGTTAATTGAGTTGCAAATATTTAGTTATAGCCTACATGCCCTACTTTTACTTTATCCACAAAGCCAAGCAATACTGTTAACTGTGAGTCTCTGTAGGGCTCATTATAAAGCTGCAGTCTTGCCAGCAGTCCTGACATTTCACTGCACTGACACCTGCTTCAACAAACGTGGTGTAACATTAACACAAACCGCAGCATCACTCGCTGCTGAAACAGCTGAGTAGCAGCAATTGGCTCGTGTGCTCCATCAAACCTACTTTGCATACCTAAGAGTCGAGACATTGGCAGATGTCTGGGCTGAAGACACAGAGGAGAGGAAAGACAATCCATTGTTTCTACTCAGAAGTTTGAGAAAGCAGAGGGAGTCGCATTGTCATGTGATGCTTCAGCTGCTGCGTGACACTGGCACCTGTTACTGAGATCAATAACAACCCAATGAACCCACTTATATCAGTACAGCTGTTCATAATTATATCATATATCTACATAGTTATATAGATTAGGAAAGGAGGAAAAGTATTCACTGCTTCACTTGCCAGTTGTTGTCTAGCAACTTCACAACTTGTATGTAGTTTACTTCGTCTTTAGAGTCAAAGCAGACAATTGATCCAGATGTCACCCAATGAGCCAATGATATGGGGGTTTAGGAGGCTCTTGCACCTTCCCCCAATATGCACAATGCACAGTGATGTATAGCATCAGCTGGGCACGAGGAGTGTGAGAACACGCAAAACAAAGACACGTCTTGGTGTGTGTGTGTGTGTGTGTGTGTGTGTGTGTGTGTGTGTGTGTGTGTGTGTGTGTGTGTGTGTGTGTGTGTGTGTGTGTGTTTGGGTAGGAGCCATTGTGAGCCATAGGGCCTAACTCTGCAGCATGTGTTGGTGCTGGGGTTCCCACAGCGGAGGAGACAAGGGAGCAACAGCTTGACCTTCTCCCTTTGTGATCCTGATCTGAAGGGAAACATGGAAACATAACGATACACTGAGAGTTTCTTTAAAGATGTTATCACTGAGTCAGCTGTTTCGTCATCCTTTGTTTTTAATAGCAATAAACTGAATTTGTATTTTAGATACAAAGGTGGTACAGTAAGAGACTTTAATGCTTTTCAATCTAAGTGTAGAATTTAAAAGTACACGTTTCACAAAAACCTGCTAAGACTGTCTTAAAAAAACATTTAGAAGCCCATTATGAAAATCTATTTCAAAGCATTATTAATGACACCACCTTTTTGATTTAGAGGCCAATTTGCACTGCGCAAGTTAATCTTCCTTGACCTCTGCATGGTTTCAAATAGGGATTCCCTTGAGATTAGAGACTTTTGCCCCATCAGTGTGATTGATCGACGCTCCAATGACAACAAATTGGCTTTTCACAGACATTGCAACAGTAAGGATAGATGAAGTGGAGGGGGAGGATAAGGGCATAAAGGAGAGAGACAAAATGGTGAGCCAGAGAAGAAAAATTGTGTTGAGATCCATCTCAATTCCACAGGGGAATAAAGCTACTATGGATTTGCAGTAAATGGAAATACATTGAACATTTGCCTTGCTGTGACTTTTAAACCTTAATGCAGTTTAAAGAAACAGTGTATGCAACATACTTTCCTCTGATTCCATAAGGGGTTTTAGTTTTTCTCATTGTATCTTTCTGCCTTGTTGCATTTTGAGCTCAACACTTTTCTCCTGTGGCCCTCCAATTTAAGGAAGCAGAGCTCTCCATCCTCTCCCTCTTTACTTTCTTTGCTCTCTCCGAGTGAGTCGACATGCATCCTTCTCTTCCTCGCCTCTACACCTCTGCCATCAGCAGCTGCACCAAAGCCCTGTGTGATGTGAAGTGAGACGCTTGCATACTAATGGAGCAGGAACAGGATGTCTCTCAGGCAGGCCAACGCAGTGAGGACATGGAGAAAACATCAGGCAGCACCACTTAGCTTCCCAGCACCACATGATAGCGCTGGGTTGACACTGATTGACCAGAAGAAAAACTGTTCAATTAGAAATGTAGAAATATATTACCACAATGTGGTGTAGGCTGGAGTCAGACATTTTAGAATATGTCAATGATGTGGTTCTGTTTAGTGTTTTAAAAAAAAATCATATTTCTGTCACCTTTTCGTAGCAGTTCTCTCTGTTCCCTTAGCCTGATGGCACTAATAGCTTTCTTCTCATTTGGTTATGAAACAGACATGCCGGTGGCATAGCCGTTGCTATGGTGATAGCATGTCTGTGAGCCTGTTGTGCGCCTGCCGATTCAGAAACACTGCTTACATTTTGCACCCAGTGAAAAAGCCCCTCAGAAGACGGGGTAAAAGCATAGCCTTCTATGAAAAATGATGCAGTGTGCTAGCCAGAGACGTCCCTTCTGGCTGCACCAGGAGCAAATCATTTTAGCAGCACTTCATTTAAACTCTTAATAAGGTGTTAAATCAAGCCAGATAAAATATCTTCAAACTTTAAAATTCACATATTTAACAAATCCTTCAAAAGAATGAGTATTTTCTAACTTCTGAAAATAGTGTTCGCCGCTTGCATAAACAAACACCTTCACAGATCTAGAGAGAAATGCTCCCTGCATCTCACTGGAGGTCTGTGTTTCTTTACATACTCTAATTAGCTTCATTGCTACCTGTATTGTCCAGAGATTCTGTTTCATAACTAAATGTATTAGGGCCTTAGCATGAAGCACACAAAGCTCATTATGTCCCACAATTACATCTCGCTGTCTAGCTTTGGGGCCAGTGATCCTCTGAGGCTTTATGGGAACCCAGTGGAAATATCAGCTACTAGGGTGTGTGTGTGTGTGTGTGTGTGTGTGTGTGTGTGTGTGTGTGTGTGTGTGTGTGTGTGTGTGTGTGTGTGTGTGTGTGTGTGTGTGTGTTTTAAATGTGTAATGTGTTCTTGGATTAAATCCTCATAAGGATTGGGTGAGCAAAGACAGTAAATCCCTCCTGGCTTCAATTCCGACAGTCCGCTGGATAATGCCAAGCTGTTGAAGGATTGTTCTGCCTCCTTCCAGAAGTCTGTGCATGCATGCATGTCACAGAGTGTGAGTCAACGATTGGGGAAACAGTGTATTTTGTGGCAATGTGGAAATGGGTGCAGTGTAGACAAATATGTACGCATGCATTTTAAATGATGCTTTCTACAGTGTCTTTGCTCTCAGCCGAAGAGGCCTGCTTTGCAAGTAAGATAGTTACTGTCAACTCAGACGTAATCTTTGATGCAATCCGAGGGAACATATGTAAATGAAGATGTTGTCCCACCAGAGTGATTCTGTACAGCAAACTATAACAAACCTCACTCCGGTCTGATTTCAGTTTTTCTGCTCTCCCTAGACATAACCCTAGCCAGGAATTTGAAGCAGACAAAGTTGACTATTTCTCCTTAGAATCCATGCTTTTGCATTTTTTTAAAGAGAGATACCAAAAAATAGTATGTGTTTACTCGTGATGAGGAAATGATTTCTAGAGCTATTATTTCAGATTGTAGCATTTATGTAACACAAGTTTCGGTTTAAAAACAACATGTCAAAGTGAAAGTCAGAGGTGTACCGTTCTTAGAGAAAGTGAATTGTAGAACACAGGAGAATCAATACATACTCACCGACAGACATCAGTTTATCAACATCAACAACTGCACCTCCTCCACTGCTCCTCTGTCCCAAGGCGTCCCCCAGGGTTCGGTGCTTGGCCCCCTCCTCTTCATCCTTTACATGCTCCCCCTTGGCAAAATAATTAGTGGCCACAACCTTCAATTTCACTGCTACGCCGATGACATCCAACTTTATATCTCAACAAAAACCATCACCCCCACAACACACTCCACTCTCACCAACTGTCTCTCAGAAATAAAAGCATGGGTGCAAACAAACTATCTCCAACTGAATAGTGCTAAATCTGACATCATCATCGGCCCCCCATCCCGTATCAAAGACATCCAGTATTTCAACTTCACCATCGACAGCCACACTCTATCTCCCCCCCCTCACATCCGCAACCTCGGAGCCATTTTCGACACTCAGCTCAAATTCAACCACCACATAAATCACATCACCAGGACCTTTTTCCACCTCAAAAACATTGCCCGTCTCCGCCCATCACTCTCCTCCTCTGCTGCTGAAACCCTGATTCATGCATTCATCACTTCACGACTCGACTACTGCAATAGCATCCTCTATGGCATACCATCCAACCTCCTCGATAAACTCCAACATATCCAGAACTCTGCTGCCCGCCTCCTATCCTACACCCGCTCCCGAGACCACATCACTCCCATCCTCCAGAACCTCCACTGGCTCCCCGTCCGTCAAAGAATCCACTTCAAAGTCCTCCTCATTACTCACAAAGCCCTCAACAATCAGGCCCCCCCCTACCTCACAGACCTGCTGCACCACCACACCCCTTCCCGCTGCCTCCGCTCATCAGAAGCCAACCTCCTATCCATCCCCACCCGCACCAATCACCGGACCTGGGGGGACAGAGCCTTCTCCGTCGCTGCCCCCTCCCTCTGGAACTCACTCCCACAACCCATCAGAGACTGCACCGACCTCACCACCTTCAAAAAACTCACAAAAACTCACCTCTTCAATCTGGCTTTTAATGTGTGATTGTTTTTGTATTATTTGACCTTAACTTTAACTATATATTTATTTGTTGTTCCTTTCTTCTCTTTTCTTTTCTCTTCACTATTATCTGTAAAGCGTCTTTGAGCACCTGTAAAAGCGCTAACAAATTAAATCTATTATTATTATTATTACACTGTATGTGTGTTGATATTCGAACTATGTGGCGCTTGACATTTTAAACAAGACACAAACCAATTGAGAAATAGAGCTTTTTAAGATAATCATACCACGTTGAACAGTGATTGATTGACAACGGAATATTATTATTCAACATCACCTATTGAGTTATACACTGAGGAAGATGATAGGTAAACTGGCAAGCAGTGGAACACCTCACGTTTTAAGCATCTGGTTGTAGCACTTGTATTAAAGAGATGAACTTGATTATACATTTAACGTGTATTAGATCGTTAATACTAAGTTTGTCATGTTCATTTTACCCTCGCATTACCCTTCTGTGAATGGAGTTTCACCCTCTGTTACCGGGCCCAATACAGTGTGAGCTCGTTGTGATGAAGGTGAAGCTTCAACTGATGGATTTGATCTCCACACCTTTCTAATATTTCAATCGATGTACTTATTATGTCTGCCTGCATCTCTTTAAGGGGGTCACGGGGTCACGGCACGCCGCACAAAATCATAAGAGATCAATGACTCCATTTTAATTTTTCTATCACATCTCTTTGATTTCAGTATTTCTCTCTCACGCTTGATGGCTCAGTTTACAGGGTCTCCACATTAGAACACAGTCTCTTAAAATGAAGTTATTCACTCCATTTTTCTTT